AAACTCTAATGATTGCAATTTGGTTACTCTTTTATTATTAATCAAATTATTTTAAAGTCACCATTAATTTATTGTAGACAGGTTAGGAGCCGAGTAAAGCACGAGAGTGACCTTACTTTTACGAACTAAAGATTTCGAGTTTTCAGACTTGATTATACTAATTTTACTAATGTCTGCTACATGTACACTTTCCTTTTAGGAAAAAAAAAGTTTTCCTTGCAATGTTTTTGTTTACAATTTTTATTCTTCAAAATCCAAATCTAATTAAACCGATCCATATCAAGCAAAATTAATGCAAAATCTTATCATAACCCCCTAAGATAAGACCACTTCAGCAATGCTTACAAAAGTAAATATGCTTGAGAATGAGAAATTTAAATATGAGTAGCATCTTAATTTCTATTGCATAACAATTCTAAAGATATATTATGACGAAAGTGAGAAAGTAATCTCGACTATCCCTAGCATGAAATGTAAAAAAAAAAAACTCTAAAAGATGATTTTTAATATTCCTTATAATACTAATTTATTTATGAAGTGACATGACTCAAATAAAAAACTGCAAGACATAAATTATGAAGAAAAGGAAAATGAGATAGCACATCGGAATCGTCTAAAGTCCGATGAAGCCGTTGCAAAACGTCGTAGCTTGACATGAATCAAAGGATGCTTCGACTATTATTTAGACCTTGATACGACGGAAACTGCTTGATACAGTTGTTGTCCAGTCATTATTCGGGGCTATTAATTTGCACCCCGTTCGGGTTGAAAAAATCGCCCAAAATTGGAGTCACGGATCGACATTAATTTGGTTTATTATTATTTGTTTATTTGTACCAATAATAGGTTATGATAAGCGGAACCACAACTAAGGATGCACATTGATGTCGAAATGAAAATCCGATGTCCATGGTGACTCAGAACTACTCGAATTGCAGTCATGAGTCAAACCGCGGATAGGTCCTCGTTGTTATTTGTATGTTACAGTCACATGAAAACGAACCCACCAGAATGCTCACGCGCCACTCAATGTTAAGATGAACGTCATCACTAAGGGGACACAAAGGATTGGCTCGGACAAGCACGAACGCACAAGGAGTGGATCCATCGTGCACTGGTCGGACCGAAGAGCGATCTAGGATCGCCCCCAAAAAGATGCCTCGACAACCTTCGAACCCTCACAATGTAGCATCTTAAAGTTTTGCAACCAGAGTCGCTAGGACTAGCACCTTAGTTCCTAGGATCTTCCCAAATCTTGGTTCGGATTATCGATCTATTAGGTGCAAATGATCACGAACTTACAATCCAGACTATAGTTTTCACCAATCAATTTAAGTAAACCTATGTCAATTGACACCTGAAAACCTCGGGCAGTGTTTGGGAAATCAAACTACCTAAGTGCACGTGCGAAGGAGCTGCTAACGAAGCTAGAGAGCTAATGCCCGCGGATTCGGGTACCTGTGGGACGGATTAGCATACTATGACGCTCTTTGAGCCTCAATGTGTATGTAACTTTCCAGTCATTTCAATTTCAGTGAAGTTTATTTCATTTTCAAGCACTTGCCTTTTATTTTCTTTAGACCAAGTGTTCGCATCTTCATCGTTTCCTTTTTTCTGTGTTGTGATTTCGATTTTCCTTAGATCTCTCGCGCTTCACTTTATTTTAGTTTAGCTTCTTCCGTTTAGCCAAATTCATAGTTTTCGCACTTTATTTCAAGTACATTAGATTCCTCGTCATTCAGACCAGTTACTTTCTGCTGCACTTTTGCTCTCAGGAGCTAGTCACACCCCGTCAATCTTTAAAAAGAATTATTTTTGTAAAAGTTTGATCACTACAAGGTCAAACTAGAATTAGAGAACAAACTTGAGTTTGTTTTTCCAGTCGCCTATCTTTCATATCTGTCTTAGAAAGATTTAGATCTAACCGGTAGATTGCCTAAATGCATGCGCATGGGGCAAAAGCCAAATATTTGGAGGATTATGATTTAGCACCTTCAATATCGCAAAATTTTACTAATCACCCTAATATGTAAACTTGAAGGGAAAAATTTATCATTTGTTGGTTTTAGACTCCATTTGTTTTGAAAAATGTGACATTTCTAATTTTTAGGAAGTCATTTTCCAGGAAAATAACAATATTTTCCGGTATTTTGTTGAATCTAAAAGTGAACTTGCGAGGTTGAGCTTGCCCTATCCCGGCAAACTCGAGCATCATTGGCTTCGGGCGAGGCTCCACCTCACCAAATCCGGCGAGGTGGCAAGCTCGACCTCCCCAAAGGTCGGCAACGCTCGAGCTTGCCGGCCCTCTTTTGTCGGTGACCGGCGGAGGAAGAAGGAAAAATAAAAACAAAGAAAAAAAGAAAAAATCACAAAAATATTTAAAAAAATTGTAAATATTGTCAACGGTAGCGCTAGTCGTGCCATGTAAAATGATTGACATCTATGTCAGCAATTTCCGGGACTAGTGTACCAAGTATTAGTGTCTCGGGCCCAGCCTCACTGGACTCGAGCACGGTTGTGCTAGGGTCTCGGGCTTAGCTTAAATGGACCTTGGCCCGGCCTTGATAGACCCGAGCTTGCTGCCAAGGGTTCGGAAATGAGCATTGGGGTTCCCATGCCCAAATGTAGAGTTTCTAGACCAAATGATTTCCAATTTTTAGAAGAGGAAATCATTTTCAGGAAAACATTTTCCGTTGACTCATTCTTTTGAGAAAACTAAATGCCGAAAAATAAGGAAAATGTTTTTTACGAAACAAACGGAGCTTTAATTTGGTTCACAATATTATCTAAATTTCTGAGGAAGTACTCAATTTCCCTTGTGTATGTAATTTACTTTAACCCCAATAGATACTCTACAAGTCCCATGAATAAGTTAAATATAAGTTCTTAGTTTTGTTGGCTGCTCAATTTCCCTTGGTTCGCATGCAGTTGTTGAATTCGAACGATTAATTCAAACTGGAAATACTCTAATGTCCCAACCCACCATCTCAATCCAAGAGCTTCTATCGATCTTTTGACTTCACATTGGCTTTCTCTTGTTTCTGACGTGATGTTTACCTACTTAAAGTGCTAAAGCCGAATTCCATTATTTCCAAATGCCGTCTATAGCCATTACATTCGAGTCTCTTTTTTTTTTTTTTTTTCTTGGATGACCTGGAATTTCGCACGGCCAGCCGACAACAGAACCCCAGTGGCGACACGCGTACTTTCCACCACATACGTGCACCGGTTAAGTCACCTCCTGCATCTGGAATTCGAACACTCAACCTTTGGAGAGTGAAGAAAAGGTTGCCAAAAAAAGCCCCTGAGATCTCTTGTACAACTAAAATGCTAAAATGAAGATGCAGGGTGCACAAAGGCGAATTAGGGATTACAAAGGGACGAAATAGAGGAAGGTGCCTTTCCTCTTGTCAAAAAAGGTTGAGGTGATTTTATAATGGGCTGATATTTTCTTTATGAGTGATGTCACCAAAATTTAAATTTAATTAAAATTAAATATGGGTGATATTCGTCTTTATTACTCATCAATCAGAAGCACTCTAACATGACTCTTTTAGAATCACAAGAATGATTGTCCATTAGTGTCGTCATTTTGATGCCGTTGATGTCTAATTTAGTCTTCCGTACGTATGAAAAAACACATTTATGATATTATTCATTATGGTTTATTAAATCAGCAAACAAATGCGTTTGCTATGAATTTGTCGCGGTATTTCATCATGGGATGGTGCCTTGCGGGAATCGGTGGCAGAATCCTCAATAATTGCTATCTGACAATCCTCGATAATTGTTATCCGATTGGAATGCCTTAGAGAAGCTTTGATTTGGTGAACTCGAAAATGAACTAGATTTGTGTTGGCCCACCCAATGCCCTCCTAACAGGCGGCAATTACGCATTGGTCCTTATCTTCCGCATACGTGATAATTCATCACTGGCCCACCTCCCTATAACATGTGATCACTATCCTCGACCGATTTCCCCCAATCAGAATTGTTTGAATGGTGGGTATGAGTTCACGTGACCCTGTCTTCGCTATAACACTCTTTCAAGGGGCAGATTGCCTTTGCTAGGATGCAAAAATAAAGTATCATTGCTTTGAATTTTGAGCATTTTCAAAGCAAGTTTGGATGAGAATTTTTCTAAAAAATCTTTACCAAGTATAAAAATTTTTGTTCAAGGGACTTTATAGACTCAAGCTGTTCTCCAAAGCTCTCCTGAACGCACTTCGAGGAGAAAACAAGGTGTCTGGTGCAGCTAAAACATTCAGGATTAACAAGATATCGGAGAAGGAAAATGAGAAGAAAAGCATGCATTACATGATGAATTAAAAGAATTTGTAACTGTTTTTTGAAATGACTATACATTATTCTGCCTCCTTCAATAATATAAAGAAGTGAAATAATAATTTACAATGCATTGTCTTGATAAGTAGATGAATAATCGATTAAACTGCGGCATGCTTTAAAATAATGGTGTCTTGCAAGTGATCTCAACTATGTCTAAGAAAACATGCATATTAAGTTCAGAAAATAAATTCTTCTGAGCACGCAACTAGATAGTAAGAATCCGAGAGTAAATATCACATTTACTTTTACTAGTCTAAAAAGGTGTATCGGTAAATTTTTATAAGTATTAAAATGTTAGACAAGCAGCCTTATCTTTCATTTATTTGAGGATTATAATTATCCATGCTTTCAAATCCTTTATGTATAAGACCGTTGCATGAAATTCTTTTTTTGCACCGGCGGTATGTGTTATAATTACTGTAAAGAGCGGCGAATTCATGTTTTCTTGAAAGGACTAACGTGAATTAAATTGATTTTCGTATAGTAGCTATATTGATTGACATAAGATGGCTAGAAGCAATTCTTATACTAATTAGTTGAAGAACAACGGCAGACCAAACAACAAAAATTGAACCTTAGCAGCGTAAAATGACGTCTGCATTAGACAAAACACACGTTAGCCTCGAGGCCAATCATCTATAAGACTTCCTCTCATGCCCGGAGCACACATATAGAAGCAATCACAGAACAAAAAGAAAAAACAAGAATGGCCTGCTCATTCTTCGCCATCTTTTCAGTTTTTCTTCTGGTCCTTTTCTCAATAGACTCGCACACATCTTCAACTTCAATTCCCATTCAACTATCGTTTTTGCAGTGCATGTCGTCCCTTAACACCACGCTCTCCATTCCACTCTCCTTGTTCTACACTCCTGACAACTCATCTTCCTTCAATTCTGTCCTTCAATCTTCAGCTCAGAACCTCAGGTACTTGGTCCCCACAGTGCCCAAGCCTGAGTTCATCTTCACGCCGCTCACCGAGCCCCACGTGCAAGTCGCTGTTGCTTGCTCGAACAGACTCGGCATCCACCTCAGGGTCCGGAGCGGAGGCCACGACTATGAGGGTGCATCCTATGTGTCGGAGGTCGAGAGCCCATTCATCGTGATCGACATGGCATTGCTCAGAGCCGTCGATGTGAACACACAGGAGAACACGGCATGGGTGCAAACGGGAGCCACCACGGGAGAATTATACTACTGGATTGCCGAGAAGACCAGTGTCCATGGCTTCCCGGCCGGCGTATGCTCAAGCCTGGGCATCGGCGGGCACATCACTGGGGGTGCATACGGGTCAATGATGAGAAAATACGGCCTAGCAGCGGACAACGTGCTCGATGCCCGGATGGTGGATGCACAGGGGAGAATACTTGACCACGCCGCGATGGGGGAGGACCTCTTCTGGGCCATCCGCGGGGGCGGTGGTGGGAGCTTCGGGGTCATCCTTGCTTGGAAGCTCAAGCTTGTCCCAGTCCCAGAAAAGGTTACAGTTTTTACCGTTACAAAAACATTGGAACAAGATGCAACAAGAATCCTATACAAATGGCAGCAAGTGGCTGACAAGCTTGATGAGGACCTCTTCATCAGGGTGATAATTCAAGCAGCCAGTGGCGGTCCAAGGGGGAAGAGGACGGTCACAACCTCATACAATGCCCTGTTCCTAGGAGATGTGGACAGGCTCATCCAGGTCATGGACAAGAGCTTCCCTGAGCTGGGCCTCACTAGGAATGACTGTATCCAAACAAGCTGGATCGGCTCGGTTCTCTACATCTCCGGCTTCCCTAATGGGACATCGACCCCGCCCGAGGTCCTCCTACAAGGCAAGTCCCTGTTCAAGAACTACTTCAAGGCCAAGTCAGACTTCGTGAGAGAGCCCATCCCCGAGGCTGCACTCTTGGGTCTCTGGAAGAGGTACTTGCTTGATGAGAACCCATTCATGATTTGGAACCCCTATGGAGGGATGATGAGCAGAGTGCCCGAGTCACAGACCCCCTTCCCTCACAGGACGGGCACAATCTTCAAGATTCAGTATCTGGCCTCTTGGCAAGATGGAGACAAAGACCCATCAAAGCATATGGATTGGGTCAGGAGGCTCTACTATTACATGACCCCTTATGTGTCCAAGTTCCCCAGAGAGGCTTATGTGAATTACAGGGACCTTGACCTTGGGATGAACAGGAGGAGGAACACCACCTTCATGGAGGCCAGCTCATGGGGCTATAAGTACTACAAAGGAAACTTCTACAGGTTGGCCAAGATAAAAAGCAGAGTTGATCCTGACAACTTCTTCTGGCATGAGCAGAGCATCCCAGTGATTCCTGGGAGGAGGAAGAATCTTTAGTAAGAACATTGAAGTTGAGGACTTGATTGAATACCACTTGATTATGGCAGTGGGATCGTCATGCTCAGCCATTAGCAGTAATCAGGAAGAATCTTTAGTAAGAGCATTGAAGTTGAGGACTTGATTGAATTACCACTTGATTATGGCAGTGGGATCGTCATGCTTAGCCATTAGCAGTAATGATTAATTGGCCTAAGTCAAAATACTATGGATGAGTTGCTTGCACTTTGAATGTCTCATAATGGTGCTCCTATAGTAGCACTTTTCTATGTAATTCCACCACCTGATGCTATCTAAGTGGCATTTTTCTATATAGTTCCACCACATGTTGCTATCCGAGTGTTTGGGGATGGTAGACTCGTGCGGGTGATGTGGTGGATAGATATAATTGCATCTTATGAACTGCATAGGGACTTCTATTTATAGAGTCTAGCATGAGTCTTACTGTTTGACTTGGTCTAGTGGACTAAGTCAAGGCAATGTCAGCTTAAAGTGTGTGGTCTTTTTTTTCCTTTTTGGCTAGGCACAAAGTCGTTTGTTGTAGTACTTTTTAGAAGTAATGTTGATCATGTGCCTCGCATGGGCTAATTAATTTATATAAAAGACACTCATGATCGAATGTGTGAGCGGACTTAAGTAGTGAAAGTCCACGCTTTGCTCGGGAAAGAATATCAATAATTTAAGATATGAAAAAACTTTGATAAGAACATTATTAATAACTGTTATGATGAAAATAAAATTTCTTCTCAAACAACCGTTGATCATCCTTCTCCTTCTCTCAAAGGACATTAGAGCACAATCTTGAAAAATATGTAAAATTTCCCACGTTCCCCGATAAAGAAATAGCTTTAGGATCGATTTTCGCTCAACTTACCACACGGAACAAAATAATGTTAAAAATATACAAAATACAATTAAAAAAATCAGGGAAAATTTAGGAGAAGACCAAAATAATAATAATAAGACCGTAGAATCCCCATGCTAACATATATAAGGTTTTCTAATACTGACAACGTCCCCCTTTAGACATCATGATCTTCACAGCCTCAGTACATAGAAATTGCGATGATATTGCCGGCACATTATTTTGATATAGTTTTTTTCTTGGTAGCATCAACGTCGACAGAAGAAAGATTGAATCGCGTTAATTGAACTTATTGACAAGAATTCATCTTACACCAATCGAAACGATTGGTCGGAGATCCGATATCAGTTAACAACAAATAGCAAGATTACTTGAGAAAAGAATTTTACGAGAAAAAGATTACAGGAGCTATGGATGGAGAAAGGGAGATGGACATGCTTCATGGGGTAGACATGGCCACAGGCCGGTTTTGGCCCGGAACCGGCCTGGGTCAAACCCGGGACGGGTCCGTTGACCGGGCTTGCGGTTCGAAACCGGAACCGGCCCGGAACCACCGGTTCCACAAAAAAAAAAAAACCGGTTCCGGGCCGGGTTCCCAAATTTGATTACAATGTGCATTTTGATTACATTTTTATATTGAATGATTCACTATTTTCATAATTTGATAATTCATTATTTTTTTATTTTATAATTTATTTTTTTAATTTTTACTGGCCGATTCTGGCAGTTCCGGTTCCGATTCATATATAGTCACGAATCGGAACCGCCGGTTCCGAATTATGATCATGTCTATCATGGGGCACCTTTTTCGGACTCTTCGTTCTCTGTGAACATTGAAGACTGTGTCCATTCATTTTTCAGTACCCTTTCTCTATTTTTTTGGTCAGATTACCCTTTCTCTTTGACCGGTATATTTACTGACTAGTACATGACTAGGCATACCGTCTTGAACGGCATGTGTAAGTTTTGAGGCATACCGTCAGGAACCGGATTTTATTGGGGTAAGGTCAAACTCTTGGATACCTCCATCAAATCAAGAGTTGAAATTTAATGTAGATGGTGCGTGGAAAGATAACAGAGGTGCCATAGGTATTATTGTACGATCGTATAGAGGCTTAGTTGTCCAAGCGTGGACAAGACGAGGAAGATGGAACTCGCCAGTGGAAGTGGAAGCTGCAGCTCTTCTTCTCGCATGCAAAGCTGCTCTGTCTCTCGGCATCCACAAAGCGGTTTTTGAAAGTGATTGTAAGATGTTAATTGATGCTACTCAACAAAAGGGCATTTGTCCTTGGTGTATTCATGCTTTCGTCTCGGACTCTCGCTTATTTCTCAGCAACAACCCAGAATGGAGTTTCAAGTGGATCAATAGATCTAGTAATGTTGCTGCTCATGAGCTTGCAAAATGGGCTTCTTATCATTTAGGAAATGCATCATCTTTCTTTTTTAATGATCTCCCCTCTAGAGTCAAAAGCGTAGTGCTCGCAGAGTCTTCTTTTATTTATCATGTTGATGTAGGCTCCAACTCTTCTGTGTAATATTTGTACTTCTCTGATGCAATGGAAGGTTCGATTTAGCAAAAAAAAAAACTGACATGGAGAATCATTCTCACATTTTAGGTTCCGTTTATTTCGCGAAAACTGTAATATTTCTGAAAAATATTTTCTATGAAGTTATGTTCAAGAAAATGATAATATTTTCCGATTTTTAGCTGAAGAATGAAAATGAACTAAAACATATTTTCCCCCCGTTTGGTAGGAAAAATCTAAAAACTACTAAAAATTTTGAATTTTGAATTATTTTTCCTTCTTTTCCTTTTGCTTTCTTTTTTTTATTTCCCTTTTTTCTTTTCTTTCTTTTTTTTTCTTTTTTTCTCGGCCGGTGATCAGTCACAGGCGAGAGACGAGCTCGCCGATCTGGGGAGGCTTGAGCTTGGAATGGCACAAAGGAAGACAAAATGGTGACAGATCTTATGGTAATGCCGTTGCTCTTTTCATAGTTTCCCTTTGTTTCTTTTTTCCCTTTTAAGCTTCCCATCCCAAAAATTTGCCAAGCTAACTACACACAAGGATTCTCCTTTTATTTTCAATATGAGTTACTTGTGACTTGCACTTTAGTATGGATACTGTGAACACGCATCTGATATTCAATGCTTTCTTTTCTTTTTATATTCAATGCCTTTATTAATTACCTCCATAAAGTTTGAGTGCTGCCAACGTGGCACTAAAAGGCTATTTCATCATTTTCTTTAGATTTTTGACGGAAAAAACCTCCACGATAAACAAACAAACAAGCATGTATTTCAAGAATCCGATAGTACGGAAAAAAAGAGAGCCTATAATGGCACAAAATGAAAATGTTCAGATATCTCCGATGTCATTGCCTCCTAAATCTTCGCCCCGCCACCCTCTCATACTTAATTATTAAATTATGTATTGAAATTTTTTTTTGTTACCTTTATTAGCTATAAATTAATACTACTTAGTTGTATTATATTTGAAGATTGTACGTTATATTCAATTTCTATTGATATTCGATTCCCGGGTGCCACCACCTATAAGGAAAAAAAAAGGTCTTTGATATTGTTAATAATTAAATTTGGAGGCGCGAACTAATTAATAACATCCAGTGATTTTTCTAATTTATAATTCTTTTCATTGCAAAGCAACAACATGGGGCCCGACCTACTCCGTTGCTATTACTAAGAAATTCGGTGTATCAATATCGTCGAATTCGATACTCAATCTCAATATTATGATGGGGCTAATGCAATGCATCTTACATTTAAGCGATTCTAACTCACTTAACTAATGAGCTCAAGTAATGCAGCGCCTATGGTTCCTAATTATTTTTCAAATTTATGTTCAAAAAATTGGCTAAAAAAGTTAGAAATACGAATGACAGTGGAATCGTCACTAAAAGAATTTTAACCTAGGTTAGTGACACTCAGAAATCCTTTAAGCACGTGCAATTAAACTACCTTAGCACCTGTATGTAGGTAATTTGCCTATGTGTGCTATATGCGCAAGCCAGAAGTCCTAGGCAGAGAGGCTCGATTAGGAATGAGGAACGGTTAACACCTTTATAATACTCTTTTTTACCAAAAACTTCATAAACCACATTTGCTATCTATTTTTGTAAGTTCGTAATGTGTATGATCATTGAAAATAGGATTTTGCTAGTATTGCAGAAGGACCAATATGGGGATTAATTACACTTGAGGTACTTAAACTCTAAGAACATTTTAAATAAAAGCTTGAAGAGGAGTCGTTTCCTTAAAAAAAAAAAAGATCTAGAGTGAAATTTATCTCCAATAACGGCTTGAAGTGGTCAATTTAGTTGTAAATAAGAGCATGAAGTTGGGCCATTTTCTCAAAAAGGGCCCCGAGTGGAAATAATGGCATAAAGTGGCCAATTTAGTTTTAAATAAGAGCCTGAAGTATAGCCGCTTTCTCAAAAAGGGACCCAGAGTTGATCTTATCTCAAAAAAGCGCCTAAAGTGGCTAACTTAATATCAAATAAAGGCTCGAGCTCATTACCCAACCAAATCTTTGCTAGTTAATATAGACTTGCACGTCTAACTCACATGCTTATTCCGGCAGCAATATCAAGGAGTCAAGAACGATGACATTCATGATTGAAATACAGAAGCTACATCAGTTATAATAAGAGGAATGTTGCCCTCAAAAGGACTCTCAAATAATCCTAACTTCAATTTGGGTCTTCTTCAAATTGGGTCAAAGTAGAATGTTTCAAACAAAATTGATGGTGATGTTGTCGCCAAAACAAGTACGCGAGCTCACGAGCAAGCTAGCTGGCAAAGATTTGGCCGCCTGGTGAGCTTGGGCCTATATTTGAGACCAAGGTAGTTACTTCAATCATTTATTTGAGATATGGTCTACTTTAGGCTAGTTTTTGGGAAAACAACCTCACTTAAGGCCTTTATTTAAGACTAACTTTATCAAATCAGGCACTTATTTGAGACAGCATCCACTCTTTTTTTTTTGTTGAGAAAACGACCCAACTTTAGGCTCTTATTGGAGATCAAATTGGTCATTTAAAGTCTTTATTTGATACTAAGTTATTGAGACAAGTCCCACTGTGAGTCATCTTTTGATAAAACTATCTCATTTCAAGTCCTTATTTGAAAATTTTCCCTTAAAACTTTTACTCTATGTCCATTAAAGTATGTTAACCCTATTTTTTCTTTCAAT